TATATTAAAAAGATGTTAAATGTCCCCTGGGAAATATATTATTATGGTTTTCATTCTCCCATCAGATCTTTTGGTTTGTTTTAATTTTGTCATGTGACCATCACATAATATCACAGTCCAATCTACAACAAGCAAGAATTTTTTTGCATTGCTACTGTTAATGTGTTGAGATTGGATGGAGTCTTTTGAACTTCTTGCAAGTCTAGGCAGTGATTTTTTTTTTTTTCTGATGTTAACTCAGCTCTGTCATTAGTCAGAAATATAAATTTATTTAGAGATTAGTTTATTAAATTTTGTTGGAATAGACAGCTGTCTGATTCTACCATAACATTGTATCCTGGATTGCAATTACTGGCAGGGGAAAGGCTTTTTTTCCTCTTATGGCATTACAGAGTCCTCTGCTGGTTCTTTCTTACAAGAAAGGCAAGAAGAGGCCTTCTTAAGCAGGTAGGGATAAATACTCAGGTGTCTGCATGGATGAGTGAATGAATAAAATAACATTGAATATTTGAAGTCAAGGCAAGTAAAGAGTCCCAGAAAGAAGCGAAGCTTTTGAGTTTATACTCGCAGGATAGAGCTCTGGTTTGAGAATTTTGCGGACTTGGACAAACATTGCCTTCAGTTTTGCATGGTTCCTTTTCTCAAGGGAGAAGCTGAAAAAGGAAAAGAAAAAAGTGTAAACTATGAGGTTCATTTTGAGGATTTAAGTAGTTGAATCCTCAGAACAAACATTTGTGTCAATGTGTCTGTGCCGTGCTTTGGAAAATAACGAGGAAGCTATTCTGTTATGTGAGAAGGAGTTTATATGGAGTTACTGAATTCTTATTATTAAGAATTAAAAGGTGGTTGTCAGAGGAAATTAAATTTTTTTCTTCATTTAATAGCTTAATTCATCCCTTTACTAGACTATTTTATATTATCCTTAGTCACTCTTTTCTAGTAATGATTCATGGAGCTCAGAGCTACTGAAATACCCCAACAGATCACTATTTGTTTTATAAACTGTGAAAATCAGTTTGGGTCAGAAGATCCCTTGCTATTTAAATTAAATGTAATGAAGAACAATTTTCAGTAACTTTTTTTAACATATGCTGTTTTCCTTTCTGTTGTTGAAGCTGGTATCTAAAGATGTTGCAGTGCTGCAAATGTAAGCAGTGGTTTCATGAGGCTTGCGTGCAGTGCCTCCAAAAGCCAATGCTTTTTGGTGACAGGTAAGAAACTTAAGCTGTATTTTATGGTTGTCTTTATTTAAAATGTGGAGGGAATTTCACATATGAACTTTTATTAAGGCATCTGTGTTAACAGCAGTATTTTTCAAAAACGGGGTGAGTTTTGTGTAGAAGATTATACAAAATAAAATGTGCTCAGGTGCCAGGAAAATGCAGTTCTTCATCTCAGTTTGATGAAGGAGCGTGGGGTGGTGGGTGGCAGAGAGATAACCAATGGGTAGTTAAATTCAAACTGGTAACACTTGCATTCACTTTGTGTGGAAGCCTGTTATGCTGTAGGTGCTGGCTACTGGGAGTTTGGAAGCTTTAAAGCAGATCACTTTAATGGGTCTGTAAGTTAATAAGGGCTTTCAAGTTCATATTGCGTAGGTGACTAGACTCTTGTATGCAACAGGCACCGTGCCTCAAGGTAGGCTGTCGGTGTGTGCAGTAGTAGTTCCCTGTACTAGCAGTGCAGGGAACTGGAGAAAGCTGGAAGGATAGTTAGACTGAGGGGAGCTCTGTACATCCTCTGCTCAGGTGTGGCGAGTTGGGACAAAAGGACATGAAAAAGAGCACTGGTCTGTGCTTTTGTTTTAAGAGGAACTCGGAGCAGTTGGAGCAGATGAGAGAGAAAACTGGAGAAGGGAAGTGAGGAGTATCTCATTCATTATCTGTTATACTTTCTTTTAGCTGTTGGTTGTGCTGGAATGTTTGTATGAAGGAACTGAGATAGGACCCAGGAATGCATGGGTCCTTCAAATGCATGCTTACACTGGTGCACAGGTTTCTGTATTTGAGAGAATGGAGTGGGGACATTGCAGAGCATCTTCACTGATAGTCACAGGTTGAGGGACTTCCTTAGGGAGTATGAAACAGTGGTACCAGGATAAAATTGAGGAAGTACTTTGTATCTGGCCAGCACAGATTGTGGAAGTTGATAAAGGAAGGTGCAGGACAAAGGGACTCTCAAATATCATATGGCTCAGTTTCTAGCCTTCTTAACTTCCATTTTTTCATAACTAGGGTGTTAAAATGTGAAGAGAGAGTGTGTGTGTGTACAGATACCTACCACCCAGACACATGTACATACATATATGTATATATTTTTAGGTTTTATACGTTCATTTGCTCAGTTTGCAGTTCTGGACCAGAATACCTCAAACGTTTACCCTTGAGATGGTAAGTATGAATTTAAAAAAAAAAAAAAACCCAAAACAAAAAGGGTGGGTGCTCTGCTTTCCTTTTTGGTATTTTCCTTTTTGGTATTTTGATTCTCCTTGCAAAAAAGGAAATCCACTTGCTGTCTTGTTTTCCAAGTTGTTCTTACTGCTTGTATGGACAGGGACAATTTTTCCTTCAAAGTTGATCCTTAAATGTAGAAATATATTGCAGTTGCATGCTCTTGGGATGTATTCCTGGGATTGTTCAGTAAAGTAACAAGCAGCTACTCACTTGTGGTATATGTGAACATTGAGATACCTGAACAAAGTCTTTTTTGCAGGTTTAGGATCCTGCCATTCGATAAGCCAAAAGTAGTGCATACTAGAGTACACATCTTGACATGTTTTATAATAGTTTACTTGAGGAGACTTAATAGTTAGTTGTAGCTTGAAATCTTTGAACTAACCCATACTAGAAATTATATCCAATTTAGTGGATAATGTGTGAACAAATACATGGTGGAAATGACCTTGTTAAATGTTAATTCACCAAAATACTCGCATGAATTCAGAACTGATACATTCAAGTATGAATTCGGTCTTACTTAAATATCCCATGGTTTAGGCCAGTTTGGGAGTTTAAAAGAACATAATGACACTGAGATGAGGCAGAAAGTAAAATTCAGAGCAGAAGGAATCATCACTTGAGGAAGAGAAATGACAGGAAACTTCATAATGTTGTTCCCTGGATTGAGCGTTGTACGTTGTGCTTTGTGTTCCTCTAACTATATCATGCTAATATATTTTCTACTAAATTATTTCAAAGAAAAGCAGTTGGAAGAAAGAGACTTTTTCCTCTGTTTTTTATTCAAATATTTCTGAATTCTAGGGTAGATATAGCACATCTATGCCTTTACAACCTAAGTGTTATTCATAAGAAGAAATACTTTGATTCAGAGCTTGAACTCATGGCCTACATTAATGAAAACTGGGATAGATTGCATCCTGGTGAGGTAAGAATTGGAATACTGTTTCTTGTTTTTCCTCACAGTGCATACGTATGTCCTGAAAGTTAGAAACCTGTGAACTGTTTTATTCTGGATGTTAAGTCCTTTATTACCTTAAAATCTGGTAATCTCAAATAATGGGGAGACCATCTTTAATATCCTTGCAGAAATAGAATGCTTTTGAAGTGGTGTATGTTTTTTCTGAGCTGTAAAATTTCTCAAGTGGTCCATGTAACTATTATTTTATTATTTGCATGGCAAATTTAATTATTTATACTCAACTGTTTATCCTGATGTATATATGTATTTTCCTTTTCTTTCATTTTATAATTGTCTCATAGTTCTTTGATATTTTCATGTGCACAGACCAGAAAATCTAAACGTAGAACTGAATGCAGAGTATATTGCAGAGAAGACATCTTCAAAGTCTCTAAGGTGTAACACATAACAAATTATCGTACACAAACGTTTCCTTTCCTCCCTCTTCCAAATATGGGGGTGATGAGTTCGTGTCCAGGTCTAAAGATTGTTTTGATCCTTTTCCAGTCTGATTCTTTGCTACTTGTCAAGGCATCTTACTTTTACTTCACTAGTACACTATTTATTTTTCCAGCTATTTGATTTACTGGGCAGTTATCTTAGCATTAACAGAAATCCATTTCCCCAAGCAGACTGACTTCGTATTTAAGAGGAGCGGTGCAGATATTTGTTTCTGCATGTAAGGTTGGATGCAAAATTTATGTCTAAATTCAAATTGGCATACTGCTAGTAGAGTATGTACTTTTGTGCATGAAAATTGTTTAGGGTTTTAAAGTTTAATACAGGTGGCATATAACTGGTTTGAAATTTTCTTATCATGAATACGTCCTACTTCTATACTTCTTTTCAGTAAATTCATACATCTGTAAGCCATTTTTACTAGCAGATACAATTTGAGAATCAAATGTATGTTCTTGTTTTAAATGAGTAACTACTTTTCATAAATAACGGAAAATAGTTTAAAATACATATATTTAGACTATGAGTGTCAATAGTTTGTTAGAAAGACAAGCAAACACTCAAGCATTACTAAAAAATGACAATGTCATTATGAATAGACATCTGGTTTACTTTGGTATGTATGGCATCTCTTGGCTAAGTCATATCAAGTCTCAAGCTTTAATTAAAAAAAAAGCTGCACAAAATGTAATTCTCGCACCATCTTTTCAATAGAATGAAATGTTCTGGTTGTCTTGCTGTGCAGTTTAACAAATATGTAAGCAATGTTTGACTTTTGTTTCTCTTAGTATTGATGGAAATATAGAAGAAATTAATATTTGTTTATTTGTTTCACATAATATAATTTTCTTTAGATTTAACATAATTTCATGTCAGAATGGCTTGTCAGAGCAGCTGTGGTGTGGATGAGGAGAGTGGAGCTATCTAGCTGCCATTGACTTGGTGTACACATGCCATTTTGCATAAGTTGAAAGGCTACAGTCCTTATTGGGCTCTTCCTCCTTTCTGCTTTCAATCCATCCACGCTCAATCTATGTGAAAAACACATAACTAAGGCGGAGGAAGGATGGGGGAGATCCAAAATAAGGAAACTCGCCTCTTTAAGTGGTACTTTCAATTCCTTAATCGATATTTCTACACCTTCAAGGAAACTGCTTATTTTAAGTCTGAAGACTACGTTTTTGAAGGGGTAGACTTTGAATAAATGCATAAAAGCTGTGTTGAGGAAATCTTCAAGACTTTATTCTGAAAAGATTCTAAATGCCTCTCACTAAGTTGGGAAAAATTGTGTCTTGAAAAATTTGAGGCAAATGTATTTTACTGCTTTGGTTGATCTGGTTTACTTATTAAACAGAAACTAGTCACAGAAAGAATAACATCTACAATACAATGGTTTTAAGGTTTTTGTAATGTTCTTAGCTTGCACTGTTAGAAATGACGCTTTGGTTTCTTTCTCTAACTACTTATAGTTGAATAAAAGTTTTTTAGCCATACGTAAGATAGGAGTAAATGGTGGAATTATCAGACCTCCTAAGCCAGTAATTTTTAGCATGTTATTTAGGATGCCATAAATATATGGCAGTTTTCTATAGTTAAGTGCTGCAGAGTTGCAAGACCTCTGGATAGCAATGGATTGTACTGAATGTGTATGGTAAAGATGTGTAAAAACGGTTGTTAATTTCTTTGGCTAAAACTGGTTGAATACCTCACCTAACTTTGGTAGTCGGGTAGACTGACTGTGAATCTTGCCCAAAATTGTGTTAAAAGGTTGGGTTTTATGAGTGTATTTACTCACTTATTTAGCTGTTAGCAAGCACATCTCATCCTTTGAGCATTTCTATCTGTCCTGTTTGGTCAGAATTGTATTCTTTAGAAAGTATTTGAAGGTGGTTTGGGTTTTTTTGAGTTGCAAATGTTGTACAGTCTGCTCTGTGGTATTCATACTAATAGTGAAACTTATAAACTGTTTGTTAACTTTATAATTAAAGATAAATTTACTGCAGAGCCAATTGGATGTACATACTAGAACATTTTGGCGTGGCAACTGGAAATACGGTAGCTTTGCTGGAATTTAAAAATAGCTGTCTAAATATAAAAATAATCTGATTTTAAATTCTGTTACATAAATGTTGTGTCCACTTCTCTATAGTCACTACCATACTTATTCTGCTTTATCTCTCTGTAATTCATAATTGTGCAGTTTTTCAGAGAGAAGATTCCATGTTTTGGTAGCTTGATAGGGAGGGACTAGCTACTTCAGGCTTTGGTGCAAGAAGGGAAGTTAGACTGGGCCTTAGCAAAAGGGGCATGAAAATGGGTTCACTTTTTTTTTAAACTCTAACTTTTCTGGGCCTCTTCCATTTTTTTTGTATCATGTTGAGTAATGCTGGCAAAAATGGGAATTGGGTCCTGTGGCAGGATTTTGGTTAAAATGATCACCAATAAAATAACTAAGTTCTTGTGTCAATGTAGTTATCTTCTGCTTGCAATCTCAATTAATTTGGCAGTACATAATGCCACAGACGAATTCTTGTTAGCAGTCTTGGGAGAGCAAGCTAGTGTTACGTTCTCTGGGTGTACTAAAATTCTTTGAGATATTTTTCTTGCACTTCTTACAAGTGAAACGCAAATTCTTTGGCATGGGCTTGATCCTGGCATGAATTCTGTGGATGTAAATCACAGAGTATATGGGATAATGATTAATATCCTTTGGGGTTAGGTAGTTTCCATAGCTAATACTTCATAAATGTACTTCACATCCAGATCTGTAGTTACAGTAGCTCAAAGTAACTGGAATCTTTCTATTACTAAAGAATTCGACAGGTTAAATGATTTCTTAATACTTCACAGCTGGCAGATACACCAAAATCTGAAAGATATGAGCATGTACTGGAGGCATTAAATGATTACAAGACCATGTAAGTTATTGGTACTTTTTGTTTTAAATGTTGTTTGCCTATTTAATCTGATGTAGATTACAGTCTTCAGTCTCCTTTGCTCAGTCTATCTGATAGTCACTTTGGCTGCAGATAACATTTAAATTTTAAATACTGTTTCTATTTCAAACTATAGCATTACATAACTATTTGAGTGGAACCCAGATCATGAGAAAAAATTTGTTTTAACTTCCATCCTCTTTCCACTTCACATTCTGTATTTGAGAGTGAGGATTGTGTTAGGGGAAAGAGGGGAATAAAATAGCATTAGAATGAATATTCTCATTTGCATAGTTTTGTTTTGCATGTACACTGTTATTTTAAAAGTTGCTTTCCCTGGGGACAGAATTTTAACAATTAATTTAAAATCATCTAGGTTTATGTCTGGAAAAGAAATAAAGAAAAAGAAGCATTTGTTTGGCTTGAGAATTCGTGTTCCTCCTGTGCCACCAAATGCTGCTTTAAAGGCTGAGAAAGAACCAGAAGGAACTTCTCATGAGTTCAAAATTAAAGGCAGAAAGTCATCTAAACCAATCCCTGATGTGAGGTAAAATAACCCAGTCATTCTAGCAACGTTGCGGTAAATCGGGGCTACTTTGTGTATATTTTTGGTGCCTATAAAAAAGGCCCTTTCATTGTATAATGCATTTTTTTAAAATAACTGTAAAGGTGGGCTATTTGTAAGAACAAGGTCTTTGAATGAATTTAATTAGCTTTCTATTACGATCCTTCTTAAAAAAAACCAAAAAAACAAAATAAAAACACAACCAAACCAACATGAAATTTAGCACTAAGAACAATAGAAAATATCCCAACTTTGCTGCCATTTGGGAAACAAAATCTCTTGCCTTTTTGGAGCTCTTATGCAATCTAACTGGAATTCTAAAACTGGAACATCTAAATATGATGTGAAGTTGTAACTTGTGTTAGTAAATGTGCCAACTTTTTTACCAAGTGTGATCGTATGAATGAACAACATTTACTACTTGTTTTTTGTTCTTCAACATTAGGGAATCAGTAATGTCACTAGAAAGATCTGGTATCTGTTTATGTTACTCTAGAGGCAAAAATATGTAGCTTTGTACCTGACAATTTTGATTTACTGGAATAACCTCATTTAGTGCAATATTTTAGCAATAGACAGCTAATCGTGTATTCATTGCCAAAGGAAAACATGTATTGAATGAAAACTATCTTCAGTAATACAGAACAAAATATAAATTTTCTTCTAGGGAATTAAGTAATGGTATAGAAAGAAAAGGGAAAAAAAAATCAGTAGGTCGTCCACCTGGTCCCTATACAAGAAAAATGATTCACAAAACTCCAGAGTCATCTCCTCTGGTAAGGTTTTGGATATTCACCCACCCCACCCCACCCTTTTCCCTCTAACTGGATTATCTTTTTTTGAAGAAAAACATAACTAGTTAATCTGAATCATTATATTTCCCCCATTCACCTTCAAACAAAATTGATACAGCAATTAGAATGTAATTTGAAATACTTTTTTCTTTTTTTTTTTTTTTTCCTCCTTAGGATAACGAACCAGTTCCAGTGATAGAGAACCCAGCCTTGGAATTACCCTGCACTGTTGGGTAAATTTTTAAAAAAAAAAAAACCCTGTAAAACATTATAATACTATGTCATTTATCTGTTTTGCTTCTGAAATGTCAGCTCTGTTTTTAATATAAGATTATTTTCATTACATGGCAACCCTGTTACCTTGCATATCAGGAAATCTGATGGAACTGCACATTCATCTAATACCTCAGATGTGGAATCCACAGGTGCTGCCAGTATGAAAGAAACTACCTCATCTAGCATTTCCAGACATTATAGGTAATTATTCAATTACTCTGTCTGCTCTAAAGATTAAGATTTGCAATATATTCATTTTAATAAAATTTTCTGAAGCAGGGGACAGGAAACATTTGGTTCAGCAAGTCTTGTTTCTTAAAACCTGAGGTTCTGTTGTACTTCCAGTCAGTTCTGAACTTTTTGGCTAACTTCCATGAAATCTGATCCGGGTAGTTCCAAAGAAATTACAGTCTAACAAGATTCATGAAGATAGACACTTGGATGAGAGACACCCAAACCAGCAGCCCATACTTAGAGAAAGGCAGACAATTTTCTAATCATCTTCGGCCTAGTCATTGCCAGTGCTCTGCTGTTGTGTGGTGTGGTTTTTTTGGAGGGTTGTTGTGTTGGTTTTTTGGGGTTTGTTTTTTTTTAGTTGAAGCTTTGGCAAAACAAAGGGAGAAGATAAGGTAGGAGGTTGACTTAAGTTATGAGGCAGCCATAGTAGATGTGAAATGGAGGTAAGGGTATTGCAGAACTAGTGGGAGAATAAATAGAGGAAAAACTGAGGATATTGCAGAGGGGTGTAACAGTGAGGATGTGGTAATTCACTGGCATTTAGGGTAATGAGCAACTGAGAGTAGAGCTACAAATTGCATGGGGAAATCTAAAGAAATAGGGCAAAAGAAAACTGGTCTTTATTAGTCCTGCTTACAACGCACAGGGTGAGGTTTTTTGTGCTCACTAACTACTGTTCTTTGTTGATGTAAAATATGTAGTTAAATTACGTTTACTGAAAAGAATTAAACTCCATAAACACTTCCTGAGCTTAGTTTTCTAATAAAGGCCACAAAAGAGCTGATGTGTACCCTGAATTAATTTTAGCAGCTTTTGTTTTTGTAGGTTTGTGTATTCATGTTAAAGAATAGTAGGTATGCTGTGATTTTCTACAGTCAATAGAGCACGAAAAATTTTTGGCACAGTCTTCATAAATTATTAACGGCAATCAACTTTTCTGCAAATAAATTGTTACTTGAACTTTTCCCTGTTTCAAGTTCAGCAAACATAAATATATCTTTTGTTGAGGTACATGGATCCTCAGTCTACTTATTTTGTCTCCTCTCGTTCTGGTTCATGCTATCAGGTGCTTTCATGAGTCGTTTTTGTGCGTATTAGTGCTACAAATGATCTGTCTTCAAAAACTCATGTTTAACTTACAGACTTCTGAAATTGTTACCGAAGGACTTCAGTCACTGTTTTGTATTTCTGCCCTTTGTTCCATTCTTTTTTTTTTTTTTCTAATGTTAAAAAGATGTGCTTTTGTTCCTCAGTATGCTCCAGAGGAGTCTTGAACATCAAAGTACCATTTAATTTAGGACTTTATCAAACATGTTTTAGTATGTGCAAATCACAGATGTAGGTTTTTACATAAGGACTTATATCTTGGATAGTTTTAATATTTGGATGACGGTTTGTTCTTGGATAATGTCAGAAGCTTCTTTTTTTCATTACCAGATACAAATCTGTGTGAGTTTTGGATATATGTATTTTTCTGGCCACATATAACAAATCTTTAGAAAGTCGTGTGTACTATAGAAAGTAGTGATGTAGAATAGATTTTGCAGTATGTTCTTGCATATTTCAGAGTTTTAATTTATTGAGGTAAATTCCACTTGAAAAAATAACTATGCATAAATTCATTTTTTATTTACAGTCTTAACTAACATCAAGTCTCAAACTCTTTTATAGTATAGCTTTTGTAATTGAGGCCTACCTGTGTGATAAAGCTGTATTTTTAATTTGCAAATTTAAGCATGTTTGGTGCAGACTTCTCTGAAGGCAGGTGGTTTTTTTTAATTTGCTTAAGAATGGAATTAAGCTGCATCAAAATAGTACTCTTAACATATTAGTCCTAAGTAATATCATTTAGCTCTGACATTTGTTAAATTGGTACAATTTTCCTTATGTAAATAATCTTTATTTTGCAAGTGCCATATTTATAGTCATCTATCTGTAGGCAACAAGTATTTTTATCAGTGAACAGTAGAACAAAGAAGTTATGGAAATAACTGATGATAAAGTATACATTTTGAATAAGTTCCTTGGAGTTAATGCTGGTTGTTTGGGTTTTTTTTTTAATAGTTTATCTGACTCGAGAAAAAGGACTCGTACAGGAAGAACTTGGCCTGCTGCAATACCACATTTGAGAAGAAGAGGTCGCTTTCCACGAAAAGCACTCCAGACTCAAAATTCAGAAATTGTGAAAGATGATGAGAGCAAGGAAGATTACCAGTATGATGAACTCAATACAGAGATACTTAACAACTTAGCAGATCAGGAGTTACAGCTCAATCATCTAAAGAACTCGATTACTAGTTATTTTGGTGCAGCAGGTAGAATAGCTTGTGGGGAAAAATACCGTGTTTTGGCTCGTCGGGTGACACTTGATGGAAAGGTGCAGTATCTGGTGGAGTGGGAAGGAGCAACTGCATCCTGACTGTAGGACTGAACATTATGTTCACTGCACTGTCATCTGTAAGTACAGTTCATAATGCAGAGCCACGAGAGAAACGTGTCTTTAAATGTGTTTCTAAAAACAAAACAAAACCAGTTTAGCCTTAACATGTAACTGTTATCATTACAGCTCTTGTGATGAAGACTTATCTTTTTAAAATCTGATCTGAAACTTAAATTTTTTAATCTGAACATTGTTAGATTGTTTTAGGTTGGGATATTTTGGGTTACAATTGCTTAAAAATGTGCATGGTGTTTTTAAAAAAAAAAAAGACAGACATTTTCTAGAGAACATTCCATGGATACAGTTATTGTGATTTAGAGAAAATATTATGTAGATAGCACAAATCTTTGAAAAATTTTGGTTTGTTTTCTTACCCAAATGTTTGCAGAAATGTATTTCTATTTCAATACTTTCTAGATTTCATAAGTGCAGTGTATATAATGCCTACTGAAGACTGTAAAATACTGAAGTTTTCTTTCAAACAAAGTGTAAAAAAAAAAAAAAAAAAGAAAAATATATTGAGCCTGTAAATTGCTCTGTGACCAGACTTCATTGTCTTCTTAATATATTCTTTGTGTGTGTGCGTGTGCGCATGTGTGTGTATATACATATGTATATATGCACACACATACTTGTGCGTGTATATATATGTGTGATTGTGACCTATGCAATACAAATTATGGGATCGGGCAGCTTCTGAGAATACATCCCATAATTCTTTTTTCAGGAATAGTTGCCAGTATTTACACAGCAGCATTTCTTCTCAGGCTTATTGGGTGCTGTTGCTTTCTATGTACTAAGGAAAAGTGTCAAACCAGTGCAGCGTGTTCTGGCAATGGGTGCAGTCATTGATGTTCATATGCTGTAGGTAATATATTCCATTATTTTCCATGTGAATTAACTGTTAAAAAAAAAAATGCAGGATCTGAACACTTTGCAATTAACTCTACTAGAAATAACAATTTCAAAGGTATTGTGGCACACTGATTGTAAATTTTGTGTCCCAGTTATAAACTAAGTTGACAGGAGTCACACACAAGATTCCTACGTATCTGTAGAAACAGTCATATGTTGATAAATGTAGTATGAATAAAGTGTATTATTGCACAGGGTCAACAAACAGTTTGTTGCCATTTGAAGTAACATTACTGATTTATTACAACATTACCTCTTTTGTTTTTATAAAATGTACCAAGTTTTAAATTGATAAGTTTATTTTACTTGTTTAAAAAAAAAAGTCAAAAAAGTCTCTTGCCAGTATTAGATGTTTTTTCTTTGTCTGCTACTTTTGAGGGGGTTTTAGCCAAAGAGTAAACAGAAGAATATTTTTACTTTGGTGGTTATTCACTGTACTGCATAAGGTTAGTTTTCTTACATGCTTACAGTTTACCACCAAAATAAAATTACATAACATTTACAAATGACAGAGTGGTTTAAAGTGTACTGCCTGGGTTAGTACTTATTTATTCCATTACTTGATTATTTGACTTTTTCTGCTCAACTTGAACATCTTGAAAAGGTGATTTTTTTTTTGTTTTGTTTTTGTTTCCTGTCACCTTATAGCCAAAGGAAGCAGAGAAAGCTTTTTATCCTGTGCTTGGTTTATGGCTGGCCGGGTAATATTAGCTTTATAAAAATGCTAATTAAAAACTGCCACTTCTGTTTACCTTCACTAAAATGTGTGTGTTTTTTCTCACACCCTCAGCTATTAATTTAATGTTGCCTTGCCTATAGCTGCAATATTTTGATAACACAGCAACTTCATGTTAATTTTTGAATGTTTATATCTTGGGATAATGCAAAATGTAAAGCCTTTGTAACCTTACTCACACCATCTGTATCTGTCTTTATTGTTTCACTTTATCCAAGTCCTTTAATTCTAACTGAACACCAGCAGTATTTTTCGTAAAGTTTCATTTAAAGATAAATATTGGAATGTACATGGGGACTTTAGGGGGGGCGGGGGGAGAAAATATTTGCCAAACTTAAGCTGTCCATAGGTTTAACTATTGTGAATGTCATTGTTTCATTTTTATTATGGTGGTTGACTTAACTCTGATGTTCAGTTTGTATTTTTGGAATTGCTTTTTTTTTTTTTTTCTTAGAATTAAAAGACCAACATTAAATGTGTGTATTTTTTGAGAGAGAAGAATGAGTTTTGATTCTGTATTCTTGTGAAGTACATACCTGGTGGCATCCTCCCATCCGTTGTTTCTCTATCTCTAGCTTTCCCGTTACTGTCCTGGAGACACTTGCCCTGCACACAAACACTAATGAGTGTTCCAGCTATGCTTGAGGGATGCTTTCTTATAAGGTTCATGTTGGAAAATGCTGCAGTAGTGCTGCTGAAGATACAGCTAGAGTAGTAATTAAAGCACACCTACAAATGCCTTCTTCTCATTTTATGTGAATTCATTGTATGTAGTAATGGAGTGTCTAAAGGAAAAATACAAACGTTGCTGTACATAAAGATTTCATTTTGGTATGACTTGATCATTGTATGTATGCATGTGTGTAAATATATGTAATTCAACTTTGTTGTGGTCACTGATTTAGAACCATTTCTCTGTGTATCAGATTTAATATTTTTCCATTATATATTATTTGTGTTACAGTAGTATTTAGGTAGGTGAAGCCTCTCTTGAGGCCATTCTAAAAACGTAGGCATCACATGAACAAGACAGCAAAGAAATAATGGCACACTACTGGTCAGCACTGTAAAATAATTGTAGCAAACTGCTTGTCAAATGGTTGTTCTCAACAAAATCTTCAAGAGGAATAAAAACTTTGCTTTCCTATGCATAACAGGCATTTTGAGTGAGATTACAAAGGAATTTTAGAAAAATCTCTCAGCGTGATATGTGAAATGAAAGTCAATATTTTGATTTAACATGAAGACAGAAATAAACTAAAAAAGGTCTTGAAGGTGAAGACAAGCAGTTTGTGTAGGGAGTGAGGGGGAAAGATGAGTGGATAAAGAGAAAAATGATCATGTCTTTGGAACATCCTACTAAAGTGATCTTTAGTGTTACATTTTAAAAGGAAATTGGTGAATTGAGATGGGACATGCCGAGGCTGGAGAACGGAGCGATAGTCAGAACACAGTGACAAGGGTGCACTGGACAGGAGCATCAGTTCTGTGCGCAGAGGGAGGAGGATGAACCTTGCAAATGCTGTGCAGGTATCATTTTCAGGCGTTAAATTGTGTCACTTCTCTAGTTCCCTCCCATCTGCCTGAATGAAAAGTAACACTGCAGTTAAGGGTATGATGGCAGAAAATGATGATTTTCTAGAAATGGAGAAGAGGGTTTGGGGTGATGAGTTGAGTTTGGTTGATGTGGAACTTAAGCTGATGGCTAAACACCCATGTGGAGCTGTCGGATCGATTGAGATCTTGGTTTGGTCAGAAAAACAGTAATGCATGAAGAAAAAAAAAATCCAAGTTGTCAACCTAAAGTTTGTAGAAAAGTTGATTTATTTTTTTTGTAAATTGGATCAACTATAGGTGAAGTATAAAGAAGAGAAAGACAGGGAAAGGAGACTTGTTTGGAGTCCCTGAAGAAAGTTGAAAGGGGGATGACTATCTTCTAGAAAACTTAAGTGCAGGACAACAGAAAGAAATGCTTAAGACGAGTATAAGTAGAAGCCATGTGCAGTCTGAGAATAGCAAAAACATCGATTCCAAGCTCAGTCTTTCACTCCTATCGTTCAGCAACAATGAAACACGATTTTGTATTGTCATGATGTTTTTATCTGTGGTGCATTTATGAATCCCTTAATGTTCCTCTCGGCTAGCTCATCTCTGCTATTTTTAATCAAATTTTTTTCGTATTCCAGCACTGACATCCCTATACCATAACATCAACAGTTCTCGTTTTCATTGATACCAAAATATTTTGCTGTGTGGATACTAGTTTTTTTTTTCTTTTCCAAATACAGCTGTAGCTCCTAACAGTCTTTTCACATCATCTTTCTCCTAATCTGTTCACTGATACTATTTCACCAGTGTGTATTTCTTTTCCACTTGTTCTAATTTATGTTTCCAGCTTCTGAGTTTGACAATATTCTGTTCTCTTCCCATTATTAGCTATTTTGTGTTTGGCATTGATTGACTTCCATGTGGTTTTGGTTTCCTGGTCTTCTGTTTACTCAGTGTCCAGTGTGGTAGCATTAACTTGCAATCTTGACATCTGCAGTCTTCCTCTAATAAGCTCGTTTGCTTCAACACCTGCTTTATAGCGAGAAGCTCATTACTAGTTCTATCTTGCTCTAAATAAAGTTCGTTCTTCTGTAAGCACCATTTCAAAGTACTTTGTGCTCTGCCACTCCCTAATGAATACTCACAAAACTGTTGCTATTGCATTCAGTCGTGTCATCATCCAAAGTGATAGTTACTGCTTTGCTACGTACACCTTTCTCTTCACGAAGATTACTAAGTTGCCTACTTTGGTTTCCACCTGCTTGCTCTAACTTGGTATTCATAACTTCGCAAATGGGTTGCATGATAGCAGCGATTGGAAAGCAGGAAGATAGTAAAATTCTAGAGACTGTTAGCAATGGTTGGAAATTCCAGGGAAAGGGAAATAATGAACAATTGTGAAGGTTTTCTGGCTGTAGGATGTTAAAATACATTTGTAATGGTGGCAGGAGGAAAAGGTGAGCCTAAAAAGGGGAAGAATATAAGGTAGAACTAAGAATTGATCAAGACAACAATGCAGAGTTTCTCAGTTAGGGAAAGTGAGGCCTCGTGTAAAAAATCCACACTCAGAACTGTCCTTTCTGACAAACTGACTAGGGAGGCTAACTGGCTTGTAGAAAAGTGCGTGTATATATAAATATATGTAATATGTATACTTATGTGTAGAAATACACAAGTCTGAGTAATACAATGAGAAACAATTTGTATTTAATTACAATGGGAACTTACTATTTTTGAGGAATTCTTTAAATGGGCTGTGAAATGCTTATTAAAAAGACAGCCTTTGGACTAAAAAAAAAAAAAGAAGTTGCTAATCCTATCCTTGCCTTCTTTCCTCCCATGCTTTTTCTTCTCTGCTTGTGGTAACGAGCCCAGGCTTTGTAGGTGCTCGCCTGCCTCGCAGGCATTTGGAGGTAAGCGCTGAAGCTTTCGAATGGGAACTCCTGTTTGTTTGGCCACTCGGCGCCTGAGCCTGCTTCTTTCTTCCCAGTCTTGCGGTGTCATCTTGTGGGAGAGAAGTGACTGGGAAGAATGATTTCGGGAGAGGCAGCGTAA